CTCTCTCTCTCTCTGTAACTCTGCCTTTCAAATAAATCTTACAAAAAAAAAAAAAAAAGCCCACAACCGCTAAGACTGGGCTGGGCCAAAGCCAGGGGCTGGAAACTCAATCTGGGTCTCACACGTGGTGGCAAGAGCCCAATCACATGACCGTCCCTGCTGCCTCCCGGGATCTGCATTAGCAGGATGGGGTCAGGGACCTGGTATAGAACCAGACACTGGCCGGCGCTGCGGCTCAATAGGCTAATCCTCTGCCCCCGGGTTCTAGTCCCAGTAGGGGCGCCGGATTCTGCCCCGGTTGCCCCTCTTCCAGGCCAGCTCTCTGCTGTGGCCAGGGAGTGCAGTGGAGGATGGCCCAGGTCCTTGGGTCCTGCACCCCATGGGAGACCAGAAGCACCTGGCTCCTGCCTTCGGATCAGCGCGGTGCTAAGTAGTGATGGTCTAGAGGTGGGATTTTAAACCCTGCCAGCCTTCCACAGAAACACATCACTTGCTTTTCTGATATTTTGGGGGTAATACTTTGGTTTTAAAAAGCTTTTGATAGTAGGCCGGTGCCGCGGCTCACTAGGCTAATCCTCCGGCTGCAGCGCCAGCACACCAGGTTCTATTTCCGGTTGGGGCGCCGGATTCTGCCCCGGTTGCCCACCATTCCAACTTCTACGTTTGTGGGTTTGATTATTCCACATACATCACCTAAGTGACTTCAGATAGTATTTGTCTTTTAATACTTGGCTTCTTTCACTTAGCCTAATGTCCACTAGGTTCATCCATGTATGAATTCATGTGTAGAAGCACGTGAATTAATTTCTTTCCTTTTTTTTTTTTTTTAAAGATATTTATTTATTTGAGGCCGGCACCACAGCTCACGAGGCTAATCCTCTGCCTGAGGCACTGGCATCCCGGGTTCTAGTCCCGGTCGGGGCGCCGGATTCTGTCCCGGTTGCCCCTCTTCCAGGCCAGCTCTCTGCTGTGGCCCGGGAGTGCAGTGGAGGATGGCCCAAGTCCTTGGGCCCTGCACCCCATGGGAGACCAGGAGAAGCACCTGGCTCCTGGCTTCGGATCAGCGCAGCGCACCAGCCGCGGCGGCCACTGGAGGGTGAACCAACGGCAAAGGAAGACCTTTCTCTCTGTCTCTCTCTCTCACTGTCCACTCTGCCTGTCAAAAAAAAAAAAAAAAATGATGTGGGCATCTTAATAGCCAGGCCAGGTGATGGCCCCTAAAGTTAGCCATTTTATGTATTTTTTCAAAGTGTATGGGGTGGGGGGAGAGAGACAGAAGGAGAAAGATCTATGTTTGTTTCCTCCTCCCCTGATATCCTCAGTAGCTAGGTCTGGGCCAGGCCAAAGCCTACAGCTGGGATCTTGATGCAGATCTCCCAAGTGGGTGACAGGAGTCCAAACCCTTGGGCCATCATCTGCTGCCTTCCAGAACAGTAGCAGGAAGCTTTTTTGATTGGGATGGAGCAGCCAAGACTTGAACCAGAGCTCCAGTATGGGAAGCTGGTGTTGCCAGTGGCAGCTTAACCTGCTGTGCCACAGTGCTGGCTCCAGTCTTGTCTTAAGGAGTTTATGATGTGAGCCTTCATTATTAGTGTTACATATATTTTAAAATTGATTTTTAAGTGTTAATTTATTTGAAAGGCAGAGTTACAGAGAGAGGTAGAGACAGGAAGAGAGCTCTTCCATCCACTGGTTCACTCCCCAAATCGCCACAACAACCGGGACTGGGCCAGGCTGAAGCCAGGAGCCAGGAGCTTCATCCGGATCTCCAGCATGGGTGCAGGGGCCCAACCACTTGGGCCATCCTCTGCTGCTTTCCTGGGCACATTAGCAGGGAACTGGATCAGAAGTGGAGCAGCTGGGACTCAAAACAGCACCCATATGTGATGCTGGCACTGCAAGTCAAAGTTTTAATTCACTGCGCCACAGCAGCAGCCCTATTATTAATCTTATATTTCAGGGCCTCCTTAGCGTTCCCTGCTCCCTGTCTCCTAGTTCCACAGACAAACCCCCACCATTGTGACAACCAAAAAAGCATTAACATCCTCTGGAGAGAGTCAATTGACTTCTCTCATTAACGTCTGTCAATAATTTCCAAAATGTCCTCTGGGGGGCGACATCATCCTCTTGAGAACCCGGGAGAGGACTAATTCCATTTCCCAGCAGGGACAGGATTACCTCTCAGCTCCCGGGTAAATCCAGGCTTGGATTAGCAAGGGAAAAAGGGAAATAGCAACTAGGTTAGGCAGTCAGCAGGGCCCAACACAAAGAAATGCTTCTCTTTGGTCCGTGGTCTCCTCCATTTCTTCCCTGAGCGACTGCAGAGGTTGTGGCCGGTTTATCTACAGTGCAGAAAGCCCATCCTTCTTTTGTTTGTTTTACAGATTGCTGTGGCACAGGGGGTTAACGCCCTGGCCTGGAGCCCCAGCATCCCATAGTGGCGCAGCTTTGAGTCCCCGCTGCTCCACTTCCGATCCAGCTCTCTGCTACAGCCTGGAAAGGCAGTAGATGGCCCAGGTCCTTGGGCCCCTGCACCCGTGTGGGAGACCTGGAAGAAGCTCATGGCTCCTGGCTTCAGATCGGCCGGCGCAGCTCTGGCTGTTGCAGCCAGCCAACTGGGGAGTGAACCAGCAAGTGGAAGACCTCTCTCTCTCTGTCTACCTCTCACTGTCTGTAACTCTCTCAAATAAATAAATAAATCCTTTTTTTTTTTTTTGACAGAGTGGACAGTGAGAGAGAGAGAGAGACAGAAAGGTCTTCTTTTGCCGTTGGTTCACCCTCCAATGGCCGCTGCGGCCGGTGCACTGCGCTGATCCGATGGCAGGAGCCAGGTGCTTCTCCTGGTCTCCCATGGGGTGCAGGACCCAAGGACTTGGGCCATCCTCCACTGCACTCCCTGGCCACAGCAGAGAGCTGGCCTGGAAGAGGGGCAACCGGGACAGAATCCAGCGCCCCGACCGGGACTAGAACCCGGTGTGCCAGCGCCGCAAGGCGGAGGATTAGCCTAATGAGCCAAGGCGCCAGCCAATAAATAAATCCTTAAGAAAAAAAATTACATGAGTCCCTTGCACACAGGGATACCATGTTGCATGCAGCAGCTTAATCCTTTTCTCTTGTTTCTTTTTTTTTTTTTTAAGATTTATTTTTTATTTATTTGAAAGGCAAAATTAAAGAGAGAGGAGGAGAGAGAGGTCGTCCATCTGCTAGCTCACCCCCTAAAGGTCCATAATGGCTGGAGCTGGGTCAGGCTGAAGCTAGGAGGGCAGAGCTTCTTCTGGATCTCCCATGTGGGTGCAGGGAGCCAAGCACTTGGGCCATCGTCTGCTGCTTTCCCAGGTGCATTAGCAGAGAGCTGGATCGGAAGTGGGAACCAGAGCCCATATAGGATGCCGGCACTGCAGGTGGTGGCTTTACCTGGTATGCCACAGTGCTGGCCTCGAATAAACCTTAAAAACTGGGGTGGGGCCAAAAGAGAAGGTGTGTGTGCTTATTTTGTTGCAAAAAAAAAAAAAAATGCAATGCATTCAGTTTTTCTATCACATGCATTTTCCAATCAACTCTTCCAAGATCCCTGTTATGTAAGTTCTGAAAATCAAGGTAAGTAGGGAAGAAAGGCAGCTTTGTCATTTTTAAAATGGGGATTGCTGGGCCAGCCCCGTGGCTCTCTTGATTAATCTTCCGCCTGCGGTGCCAGCATCCCATATGGGCGCCAGGTTCTAGTCCCAGTTGCTCCTCTTCCAGTCCAGCTCTCTGCTCTGGCCCGGGAGGGCAGGAGGATGGCCCAAGTGCCTGGGCCCCTGCACCCGCATGGGAGACCAGGAAGAAGCACCTGGCTCCTGGCTTTGGATTGGCGCAGCGCTGGCTATAGCGGCCATTTGGGAGTGAACCACTGGAGGGAAGACCTTTCTCTCTGTCTCTCTCACTGTCTATAACTCTACCTGTCCAATAAAAAATAAACAAACAAACAAACTGGTGAGGCTGTAGTATACTTTTCTGGTCCCATAACCAAGCACTACTAGTTCTTGGTGTGTTAAACTTCTCTGGGTAACTTAATTGTATGTGAAAACATTTATTACAACCTTGCCTTCGAGGAAGTAGGCCCATTAGAAGAGAATCATTAAGTGTCACTGGGTTAGACTGGATGCAGAAAGAATGGAAAGTCAGGAGTTTCCACCGACAGTGGGCTGTCAGCTGGGCGCCCCCCCCCCCCCCCGCCATGGAAGCATTTTATTTGAAATTTTTTAAAATCAAGAATGCTCTTTTTTTTTTTTTTTTTTTACCCCGAAGAAGCTTGTAAATTACAGCCCTAGCCGGCTGCATTCTAGGTAAGGTCTGGAACTTTCTGTTGTTGTCTTTGATAGGACCAAGATGCAAGGTCGTTCGGGCTTGTCTGCAGGCTTAGCCTTCTTGCCCCGTGGGTTTTCTTACTGTTCCTGGAATCCGACTGGCCTCTGCCTTCTCAGGCTCGGAAAGAAGCTGTTCCCGAGTCTTCTCTCTGCCCCCCTCCCCACTTGTATTCCTTAGCCCCCAATTTCTGTGCCCGGGGAGACAAGCCCCCATCACCGGGGCCAGCGCTGCACGGACACCCCTGGGTGCACGCGCACCGAGCAGTTCTCCAGCCAGCAAAGGCATCCCGGCGGGGACTCGACACCCGGCTTCCGTCTGCATCCAGAAAACGAGAACAGCAGCTTGCCCCAGTGCAGGATCGCGAAGGCCCGAAGAAACCCAGACCGCGGGTTCAGGGCGCCACGCCTCGCATTCTTCAACTCCCCAGAAGGCGCCGCCAGGCCCCGCCCCTGGCCACCGATGACGTCATCAGCCGAGGTAGCTAGTGATGTCATCTCCGGGACGGCTCTGCGCTGCTCCAGCCCCTGTTCTTCGGAAACCTCCGACTCCCGGACCCGGGCTCCAGCTTTCGGTTATTTTTTTTCTCCCTCCCATTCCCCCCCCCCCCCGCCCCACTTAAACCTTTGGGTTCTTCCTGCCTTTCGTCAAGCTGGCGATTGTCAGTTTTCCCGCTTGCTCTCGGGCCAATTCCTCACGGTCGTCTACTGTCCTAATTAATCGCCGCTTCTCCAGCCACGCCGGTTTAGCTCATTTTCTTCATTCCCATCACCCAGCTCGGCCTCTTTCGGCTGTTTCCGGCTCCCGGCACTCACCCCCACCGACGCCGCCTTCGGCTCTTTCCGGAACACCTCAGCTCCTCTTCGGCTGTTTCCGACTCCCCCCGGGCTCCCCTGCCTTTAGCTTCACCCCCGTCGTCCCCTTCGGCTCTCTCCAGCGCCCCTCGGCTTCGCGTTCCTCCGCAGCCCAGACCACCACCTTCGGCTAGTCCCGGCTCGCCCCACCGCCTCCCGTCGCCCGCTCAGCTCTCTTCGGCTTTTTCCGTCTCCCTTCGGCTCTTTCCGCGGGCCTTCGGGCGGTCTCTGCCCCTCTGCTCCACGTGACACCGCCTCCGCCTCCCGGTTCCCCCACCCACCTCGCCCTTCCTCAGCCTCTGAGCTGGTCCGGGCCGAGCCGCCATTTTGTGTGAATTCTTGACTGCGGCGGGGGCCGGGCAGCCGGGGCACCTGGGGTGGGCAGACAGTCGGCCCGTCTTCACGGCCCGTTCCCTCTCTCCCTAAAATCCCCCCCCCTTTTTTTTTTAAAAAACGCTCTCGCTCTCCTCTCCTCCCCTTCCCCCTCGCTTGCTCCATTGCGCGCGGCCCGGGCTAATCACACCCAACCACCCACCAGTGTCCGTGTTCCCCGGGTTTCCCGCCCGCGGGCGTGTGTGTGTGCGTGTGGGGGGCTCTCGCCCCGATGAGGGCCCCGCGCCCGTGAGCGAGTGACCGCAGGGGCAAGGCTGCGGAGAAAGCAGGCGGCGAGCGGCCCGCCGAGGCCTAGGCCGCGCGGCCTACGCGGAGGTCGGCGCAGAGGTGATTCCGAAACCGAAAAAAATATATATCCAACCCTCATTAGAAGCCCTCAGAGCTGAAGTGTGTCCCTCCCGCCACGCCCAAGCAGTCCTTTTTCGTGCATTAACGTCCCCTCCCCCCCAAAAGGAACTATGGAGGCCGCGCCCGGGACCCCCCCGCCGCCGCCATCAGAGTCGCCGCCGCCGCCATCGCCGCCGCCGCCATCAACCTCTTCGCCTCCTCCGTGTTCCCCCGACGCCCGCCCGGCCACCCCGCACCTCCTCCACCACCGCCTCCCGCTCCCTGACGACAGGTCAGGCCCCCGGCCGAGCCGGGGCAGCGTCCCCGGGGGGAGGAAGAGGAGGAGGAGGAGGAAGGGGGGCGGCCGCCATGTTGGGTCGGGCCACGGAGGAGGAGGAGGAGGAGGAGGAGGAGGAAGGGCGGGGTCGGTGGGTGTCTCTCGCTCGCTCGCTTGCTCGCTCTTTCTCGCTTGCTTTCTCTCCCGGCCTCATGCGTTTCCCCCCCCTCGCGGCGCTCGCCCGCTCTCCCTCGCTCTCGCTCTGTCTTTTTTGGGCGCCATGCTGAGGGGAAGGTGAGGAGGCGCCCCCGGACCCCCCGCGCCCGCCCGCCCGCCCGCCCGCCCTGGGGAGGGGGCGCCGGGGGAGGGGGCTGCGGAGGCCCACGGGGGTCCTGGCTGCTCCTGCGCCCGGAGCTAGCGGCCACGGGCCCTCCTGGCCGGCGCCCGGCTTTGGGGATGGGGGAGGGGCTCCCGGGCCCTTTTTGGGGGGCTCTAGAGCCACAGCCTCGCTCTCAGGGGCTTGGAGTTGGGGGGCCTCCCAGTCCCCGGCAGTATCCTTTCTCCTGGGGGAGGTTTGCCCTGCACTACCAGCATATCTCCTCCTCCCCCTCTAGGGGGCCTCCCTTTGCTTTTTCCACATGGCTTCTTTCCCTCCTCTCCATCCTCCTACTGAGGGGGGTCCGTGGGGTGGGGGCTCTTCAGTTTTTTTTTTCGGCGGGGGTGCTTTCTGCTCCCTAGAGGGCAGGCCTGGGGGGTACATTTTCAGCCTTTTTGGTGGAGAGCCACTGCCTCCTGGGATAAGCCCCCCGCCCCGTGTTTTTCCTTTCGAGGGAAGGGTTCCCCTTGGTTCCCGTGAGTAGGTAAAGCGGGGGAGGGTCCTCAGCCTTTTTTGGGGGTGAGCCTTGCTTTCCTCGTCTCGGAGTAGAGCAGGGCGCCGGCCCTTCCGGGGAGGCACAGGAGCGCCCCCCTCGCCCTGTAGTAAGTGCGAAATGGGCCCCGCCGGCGCCCTGCCCTGGCGGGGAGAGTGCAGCCCGCCCCGCGCGGCTCGGGCGCGGCCGGGCCCCGGGCCCCGCGCTGCAGCAGGCGGAGTTGGGGTGCGGGCTTCGCCCACGTTTTCCTGGCGGGAGAGTGGGATTGAGAAGGGAAGGTGGGTTCCAGTCGGCAGGAAAGCGAGTCTTGGAGGCGCGGGGGTGGCGAGGGGAGAGAAGGCGCCGGACAGATGGCTGCCGGGTCGCAGCCCGGGCCCGGGAGCCGCGCAGGACCCTCCTCCCCCGGCCCGGGGTCTCCGCCAGGGCTGCCCTGTCTCCCCTCCCCTCCCCTCCCCTCCTCTCCCACCTCCCCTTTTCCCTTTCTCCTTCACAGACCACACTTTGCCTTTTAAAAGAAATGCCACCCACATTCAGAGACACAAGTGCAGCAGTTTGGTGAGCTTTTAAAAAATGTATATTTTTTTTCTGTTTTGTTCTAATTAAATGTATCGTCCTGGGAACCGCAGCCCATCGCAGCCCGACTCCAGGTCAAGGAAATACACAGATTAGCAAAGGTCTGTTCGCTAAGCCCTCGCTGGGCTGCCGGGCCCCCTCTCCGGGGGCAGGTGCAGCACTCAAAGGTGCTTACACGCTTTATTCGACCTCTAAGGAGTTCTCTTATGTCAGAAGTGTATGTCTTACAATGGGTTGGGATGGTAAGTAGCCTCTTTTATTGAGTAATTCAATTATCTCCCTCTTATTGTCCCTTTCCTGCCTGCCTTCCTCCTCGCCTTTAGACCAAAGTGATGCTTGAGAGTGAATTTATATGTTCGAATCAGGATTCTAACCCGTTGAACCCTTTTAGACTTGCACATCCTTTCAATGTTTAATTTTTAAAATTTAATGTACACAGTTTTCTCAAAAAAAAAAAAGTGTGATACTGTAACATGACAAAAACAGTGTAAAAGGCCCATAGCGTTTCCTCTCCCCGGCAGCCCTCATTCCACTTCAGTCCATTGCCTGTCTCCAGCCTTGATGTTTGAAGAAAGTGGATGCTTCAAGTCCATGCGCAGGAGACAGGCTTCCTGAATGTGGTTTATGGTAGTTGCATTCAAGTTAATGCCTCCACTCCCCCCTTGACACTCCCCCCCCCAAAAAAAAATTGGTTCAAGTAGATCCAGTTTCCTCATTTTACTCCAGTATCTTATGGTGATGGACGTTTAAATTGAGCAGGTCATTTGTAAACTACTGTTTAAGCACCAAGTCTGTAAACTGTGTCAAGCCCCGTCAGCCTGCCTCCACCGCTCCTTTGTCGGAAAGCACATGCCTGATGTGAAAAGTTGACGCAAACGTGTTACACTCTTGGTCATGGAGAGAACACCTCCCGTGCCCCCAGCCCACATGTACAAGGAAAAAGCAGCACCAGAAATGACTTGCAGAACCAAACACCGTACTTCTGATGTGTTTTACAAGCATAAGTTTCTCCGGTAAAAGACAAAACACGTTGAAGTTCCTCCTTCCCTCTTGCCCCCTTTTGGCCCCTGACACATTTCTAACACACGGCCCTCCAGCCTTGCAAAAGACCCCGCGAGCTCTCAGTTCACGTTCAGATGAGGAAACACGGCAGACCAGGCCACTTGTTTTCTGTTCTTCCTTTTAATGTGTTCACAACTTGACTGCCCTGAAATGGTGATCTTAGGTGTGTAACATCAGTTTGGGAAGGAAGAAGTCTGCAAACTACAATATCCTGCCAAAAAAATGTTGAAGCACCAACCGAACACACTGTCCAGTGCGCTGTGTCAGCCGGAAACGTTTGAAGTCCCCCAGGCTTTGTAAGCTGCCTTCCCCAGGAGCTAAGAGCAGAAATTGGAGGTTAGCTGGTGGCCCGAGTTTTAACAGCTCCGGAGTTGTAGTAAGATGCTCATTTGAAAATGTGCTTTAAAAATGAAGTGGTAAGGAAGTGGATTATCTTTTGTAAGTGAAAAATTTTAGCAGTCATTCACTGAATTTGAAAATGTTTGCCCAAACATAAAAAAAAAAAAAAAAAAGCTCTCAGATGTGTCCACACAAAGGTTTATTGTTTTTTGTTCTCAAAGGAATCTCATCCATCAAGTCCAAGAAGCCCAAGTAATTAAGTCAACTGCATTTTGGTAGTCTTGGTTTTTGGAATGTCACAGTACTGCTTTTTTTTTTTTTTTTCCCTCCAAACTGATGTACTGGTATTAAAAACCAAATTAATGGATGTTGCAAAAAAAAAAACCAACAAGACAAGAAAAGGGTGCCATCAGAATGCCTGATTTAACAGCAGATCTTATACACTTGTAACTTTTTCAAATTTTTGTTTTCTCTGAGAGGTTTGATTTGAAACCAAATCAAAGTCTCCCAATAGAAACATCAATGTGACCGCGAAAATATGGGTATTCTAGTCCTAAAATCCCTTTCTCTTCTCCTCTCCTCACATGTGCCTCCCCGCAGGGGCTTGTGAATCCTCAGCCTGTCCTGTTTCCCTGTAGCGTTTCTGTCTGCTCTGAGGCTGTTCGTTTTTGGTTCTCGACAAACCAGAATTTTCTTTAGGTAGAGCTGGTTGTCTCGGGTAGCCACTACTGTGGTTTTTCCTCAGTCAGGAAGGCGGGTGCCCGGGGAAAAGGGTTTTGCGCCTGTGGAAGCAGAACCTTTGGTGGCTGCTTGCTGCCTGGCGGGCTGGAGATGGATGTGTAAGAAGTGAAGGTGGACGATGGGTTGCGTCTGGTTAGTGACTTGGTAACGCCTCTGCCTGTTTCCTGCTCTCAGATCTCTCCCCTGGTGGGGGAAGGGGCCATCTCAGGGTTACTTCAGTTGTTCCCTCTTGTTAGGTTTCTGGGGCTGTTGAGTCCCTGGAAACATCTCCTGGAGGCCAGATCCAGTTACAGTAAATACCTCTGTGGCCATAATCGCTAATGAAACTATTTTCCAGTCTCTGTGGGTAGCTTTAAGTCAAACCATATTCCCGAGAACCTAATTTTGGTCCCTGTGGATGGTGTCTTCTGCGAGAGCAAGTGGTTCTGACCCGCGTTGGGAGGTTGAGTGACAGAGCAAGGGAGCTCAGCAGATGGTGAACAGACAATAGGAGAAAAAGGGATGATTGCAGAGACTTCTGCCAGTTGATATTTACTTGCTGTTAAACATTTTTATTTGAGGGACGTGGAACAGACCTTGCTTTGAGCCAGCCAAGGCCGGGAGCTGGGAACTCAATCTGGGTCTCGCACGTGGGTGTCAGGGACCCAAGGCATCACCTGCTGCCTCCCAGGGGCCTACGTTAGCAGGGAGTACTCACAAGTGGCTTGTGGATGCCCCTTGTAGCATCTTGACTGCTGTGCCGAATGCCTGCCCCCAGTTGGTATTAAGCATGCGGATGTAGGAGTAGGTTGCCCTTCGGTAGACGGAATGCTGCCTGAATAAGTGATTTGAGGCCAGTTTTGTAATTAAAACCTAAGAGAAGGGATGGAAAAGCTGCTGTTTTGTCCCCGTGGCTGGTAGTATTTGTTTGGATGCGCCAAGGTGAGAGGAGATAGTACGATGGGTTGGGGGGCCTCGCTTTGTAGATTGACTCTCTGTGTCTCTCGGCCCAGTCTTCGAGGCGTGCTCTCTCGCTCTTGGTAGTTAACGTAGATGCAGCCTGAAAGATATTCTGCAAGGCGTTAACGCGTTGATTTCGTAAAATGTAGAGGTGAGGTGGGCAGTTTCCTGGCAAAACACCCACTGGGGTGGCTCTTGACCTGTTGGTGGCAGGAATGAAGACATGGCCACGTCCTGTTATTGGAATTTATTTTTTTAGCAGTACACAGGGTATTTGCTCAGAGCCTAAGTTTGCTTCTGGACAAATTGTTCCGGAGAGAGGATCTTGTGTTTTCTGCCATTCTGCATGTGTGTGAGTTGGTGACTCAGCACCCTGTTTGTCAGGCAGGCTGTAACATCTTTGTGAACCGTGGAGGTGGCAACAGGATGTGAAGGGAGAGAGTGGGCTTTGGAGCCAGATAAGCCCGGCCCCTCCCCGGCAGTGCAGTGGGC